AACACCGTGCTCTTCCCAATTAGACCATATCCCCGGGCTTTTATTTCCAAAATTTTACCCCCCTTATTTGAAAAAAAAAGGGGGGCCAAGACCCCGGAGAGGAGGAAGAAGCCGAGGTTCAACAGGTATGGGCCCATGGGTCATCGCTCGTTTATTTCATTTGGGTACTGGCCCTCAGCGTGGGGGGGAGAAAGGGGCCCCTGGGGAGGTGGGACCTGCATGGAATACGACGTAACTGCGGTGTGCTGTATAACTGCCGTACGCCGCTGTACGAATGCCACATCACAACCCCTTGCACTGTACACATCTGCCCCCCTCGCAGGGTCGCAGTGCTGCCCGTTCCCTGACAAAACCCAACCCCGGAAATGCACCGCCCCCCTCTCCCCCCCCCGCACCGCCCCCCTCTCCCCCCCTTCGCTTACCCCCCAGGGTGTGAATGGCAAGCGGCTGGCGGACGCTGTGGAGGCGCTCATCGGGGCCCACGTGCTGCCGGCGGTGGAGGCGGAGGTGGCCCGGGCGGCGGGGGCGGACCCCGCGTCCGGGGTGTTGGGGGTGTTGGGGGCAGCTGCCGCCGGTGCCGGCCAGCTGCGTGTGACCAGGGACATCCGAACTTGCAGCTCTGCCGTACAGGTACGAGCTAGGCGGTAGCAGCAGCCGTAGCTGACGCCCGCCGTACCTACCAGGGAAGGGGGGAAGAGTGCCTCTCATTACCCGTCCGCCCCTCCCCGGCCGCCCGGCGCCTCCCCCTACCCTCCGAAACCATAACCCTCACTGCAGGTGGCCATATACGACGCGCTCCAGTTCTGTACGGGTGTGGGTTTGCTCCCCCCCGACACCCCGGCGGTCATACTGGAGCGGTTCGACCAGGTGGCGCCGGAGGTGGCTCGGAGGCACCGGGAGGAGCAGCAACAGCCGGCAGTAGCAGCAGTAGCAGCAGCAGCAGCAGCGGGGGGGTTGCCAGGGGACCAGCACCCAGCGGGTAGCTGCGGGGGAGATGCGGGGGGCAGTAGCAACAGTAGCAGCGGCGGCGGCAGGGGTGTCTTCTCGTGGCCGCTGAGTCCCACCCCATTGCGAGGTCGGGAGCTGGATGACATGCCTGCCGCTCTGAAGCGCAATGTGCTGGCGGTGGAGGAGCTGCTGGGGCACACATTTGCGCATCCGAAGTTGTGTGTGCAGGTAGGGGATGGAAGGGGGGATAATGGTGGTTGTGTTCGTTGAGTACGACAGAGTGGGATCCGTGAGGTGGGGGGTCGAGCCCGAACAGCCACAAGCTCTTGTGGCGGTGGTGTGTGAGGAGGAGAAGTGGCGTGGAAATATTTGGGGGCTGCATGGGGTAATGCGCGGTGAATGCCTTGTTCCTCTCCAGAGCTGAGCTGCCACACCGCCACCCGTTCCCCCTCCCGCTCGTGGTTCGTCTTTCCCCCCTTACCCCCCTCCCCCCTTTCTCATGTAGGCCCTGACCCACGTGAGCCACCCCACTGCCAGCAGCTGCGGGGGGGGGTACCAGCGGGTGGAGTTCCTGGGCGACGGAGTGCTGGGTATGGTGGCCTCCGTGTGGGCGTTTTGGTGAGGAGGTGGACAGGGTGCTGGGGCGGGGGGATGCGGGGGGATGATATGCGGAGCAAACTGCCTGAAGGCGTCGAAAGCTCTCGAAACTGCCCCCCCCCCAGGGAGGGAGGGATGGAGGGAGCTCTCTAAGCGGTGTGAGCGATGAAGCCAGATGACCCCCCCCAGGGAGGGAGGGAGGGAGCT